CTTTCCTTGCTGCAACCTCCTCTAACAGACCATGGCAGGACTCGCTGGATGCTTCCCCTAATGCAGCCATCTGGAGTTCTGTAAACAGAAAGTAGAACGGATTAATGAGTTTTCTATACTTTCCCCCCTCCCAATAATACAATACCTTTAATGGTTTGCCATGTCAGTGAAACACCATATGCCTTGGACACTTCCCCCGTTGCAGCCACCTCGCAGACAGACCATGGCAGGACTCGCTGGACGCTTCCCCCCGAGGCAACCACCTCTAACAGACCATGGCAGGATTCACTGGACACTTTCCTTGATGTAGCCACCTCGTAGACAGACCATGGCAGGACTCGCTGGACACTTCCCCCATTGCAGCCACTTCTAACAGACCGTGGCAGGACTCGCTGGACGCTTCCCCCAATGCAGCCACCCCGTAGACAGAACATGGCAGGACTCGCTGGCACCAAGGAAGTATCTGATATGACCCTCTTCTCGGTGCAGTTGTCAGTGGGACCTATATCGAGAATTGCCATAGACGAGTTCTGTAAAGAGAAATAAAAACTGATTAATGTGTTTTCTCACCTATGTCAGCACTTTGCAGTCTGCTTCCTGGACCTGTAATAAAAAGAAACCTGGAATACATGGAGATATGTGCAATGACAATACAAAAATACAGCCCACTACAGCACGTGGCGATGATGTGTCCTGCGAAGATTCCTGAGCGACGATTCCTCGTGGAGAGAAGCGAAGGTTTTAGCTGGCCAGCTTAGAGAAACGTCGAATCCACCGTCCAGACGACTGTGTGTGCAAGAAACAAGATGTCGATGAGCGATGCGTTGACTTGGGACGAGGAAAATATTCGGAGAAATGTGAGTTGACTCCTGTGTCCTTTTTGCTTGAAGCGGGCGCAGTACATGGCATCCTTCCTGTTGCTCCAGATCTGTCTGCTGTTGAATGAACGCAGTTTCAAAATTTCGCGCTTTTATACCGTCAGTGATATATAGTCACATGATGGCGTTCCTGTTGTCACCAACGGTCAACTTGTTCATAGGGGATAGCGTTTGATTGTGATTAGCAAATTTGATTATAATATCTTATTTACATACACATCTTATTTACTATTTTAAATTTTGATTATTCTGCTTATCATTTAATTTTATAATAGGAGTAATGAGTACTAAGCTGTGACTTCGAAATGTACAGGTAAATTTGATGACAATTGCTGAGCAACATACCTTCTCCCCAAAATTATGATAGGCACGATGTCCGTTAAACTGGTACAGGTAGCTGTGAACTGTTCGCAGGTCACTACTAGTGCGTGGGTATTCGAACACTGATCCAAAATGTGGATAATGTAATAGGGCGTACGGTGACTGCATTTTGAGGCAGCCTGAGGGACTATGGTTGCTTTGAAAGTAGTGAATTGTGGTGAGTCAATTGAAAATGCAATGAACTGTGTAGCCACCTTCGTACCCTGAAATACGTTTAAATCAACTGACTTGTTATTCTGAGAAATGAATGACAAGTTATTTTGATTTTTCGAAACTTTTTCGAAGCGCAGAAGGTCATAAGAAAAATCTTGATTAACTTATACCAGGCAGTAGGAATAAATGAATATTTTAACAAATAAAACGTCTACTAATATAGGTAATAATTGACAAAGGATGCCCCCCATATGGCTTCGGGTTATCGGTACTCCTGATGACAGTAGCATTAGTAGAGAAAAAAACGAAAAAAATTAATAAGACAATAAGATAAGAATTAAAATTAATCATTTCTCATTTATGCATTTACTTAATCATCTTAAAATTCAGTTGAAAACTGAACTAATAAGCGTTTTTTTAATGTTAAGACATACTATAAGTCTGAGTGGTCACTGGCATCCGTTCACATCTCCCTGGCGAGCATACAACCTAAGTTGCCGAACAGTAGAGCATATGCTCTAGGTCATTTGCTCATTATGGATGTTTTTTTTCCATGGCCAGCCGCACAACAGCTCCATATGTGTGTTTTTATTTTCAGTGAGGTGGTCTTTGACTCGACAAGGCGTAACGAAACTGAGGGTCCATGTAACAGAACGTCCGCCCTCCATATAGTTATATTCATATTCAATTTATTAACCCTTGAGCCCTTCATCGGACTTAAGTTAATCTTAGCTCCAATGCACATTTTAAGTATTTTCCTCAGTTCTTTAATTGTGAGACATTGTTAAGTGATAAGAATTTAATTAGTTTGACAACGCTTCGTTTCGTATAATAAATAATAAAGTTATAATGGTTAGGGTTAGTTTGACCTAAGTGGGTCAAAATCTAGGGCGAGGCTTACCAGTACAAATAAATGGGAAATGGACTCTCTGTTATGGGGGCCTCTGTCACTTTACACCTGCTTGAAAATCGATTTCGGGAATTGCTCCGCCTGTCACTGTTTCTCAATTATTTCTTAAATCACTGGAAAAGAGTAATGATAATATTAATAAAAATAATAACAATAACTACTTTAATTGTTCTGACACACACACACAAAAAAAAGAACAAACGGACTGAAATTAAAACCGTCGTTACTGTTGCTTGCAACACCATCTCGCATTCTCCAATCGATCTAGTTTATGTTTACTTACGTACAAAATCAAGAAGCGAATATGATGTTTCAGAAAATGCCTATGTCTATTGAAAATAGCACAATTAATAAGTTACCGCTACGTTTGCGATATCACCAGTGTAGGTAAAAATCTAGGGTGCGGCTCACCTGTACTAAATGAATAAGCGGACTCTCTGTCATGGGGGACTTTCTGGTACATGGCACCGGGGATTCAATAACCCCATAAGTGCAAAGTTGAGGTAAAGATCACCACCCAGCCAGTTTAATGTCAAACAGTAATACACCGACCTTTGCAAAATAGAATACAAGTGGTTCCAACCAGGGACATACTTGTTAAAGAATTATGTGGCCTGTGAATTAGAATCATTAAAATTGCACAATAATTTTGTGAATATCAGCAACTACTGCGAATGCATGAAAAGTGGTAAATGATTCATAGCATAATATGGCTGTCGCTCACTGAATAAACGACAGGGGTTAACTGTTCATTTTGGCCAAAAAAATGAATTCGCCTGGGGCTAAGGAAAATGTACCCACACTGCCCAATGGTTAAAGATGCATAAAAAATAAATTTTTTGCCACAAAAGCCAACCAAATGCCAGCATATATTTTCAAGTAGTAGAACTAAGAGAATTACCAAAAGGCATTATATGATGTTGTTTGCAATGTATTTATAGTGAAATATGGATAACTTTCAGGCAGTTGTTATCCCTTTAAGTATTCCGAAGGAGCTCAGACTTGATACTATTCTTAATTCAATATTCTTAATTCAACTTTTGAGTGATAAGAACAATGGGGAAAGATTGTGTAAAAAAAATTGCCTGGATCAACTACAGCGGTAAACTATGTACATAAGACTTTCAACTGACGGCTAAAAACTGAACTAATATTCGATGTGCCCACCAACTACAGTTTTTTATTGAGCATCTATAATGCATCTAGAGAGCGCCCACGGTATACTTATGCATGTGACTAGGCACCGTTTGCAAACAAATCTTCTCTCTCTCTCACACCTTCTGTTAAATGCTGTAATCTACATGTACCCAGTTAGTAGTATGTAACCACTAAAATACATGTAAACCAGTCAACGTGGAGACAACCCAATTTTTTCACTGATGTTTATATAGCTTCGAAAAGACAAATGGTTAATGGAATACATAACCTTAGTCTCTCTTTCTCGTTTAATCAGTTTGAATGCTTCCTAGTGTGAATACAGTCAGAAATAAACATCCGTTTATCAATCCCTACAGATCTGGAGACACTATGAATACAACCGTATTAGGAGACAGGGCGTGATCGCGACCAGCGAGTTTCCAGCGTGATCGCGACCAGAAATGTCGGCCGTCTTCCGAACTTGTAATTATCATAAATAGTTACATTCGTTTCCTGGAATAATACGTTTTGGCTCTGGTAAGTGTCGTCATTCAGCCCGGATAGCTACCAGTAATAAGTGGGGGAAAGTGAGGGTCTACAAATAAGTCGGCGACTCCCTCCATGTAGAGTGTAATCAGGCCAAAAGTACCATTTTTTTCTCTTTTTCTTTTTATTGCATTTGAAAGGCGAAGGCAGAGTTGACTGAAAAGTATCAAATTCTCCAATAATATGTAAAAGCTCGTCCAAATGCATCCTCTTTTTCCGTACATTACCCTGGTTTCTAAAAGAGGTGACCTTAACAGCATTCCGTATAAGACAAGATCTGCCTTATCTTTTGTTTTACGATCTTGGGCACTGCGAAACAGCTTCGTCGTCACTTATTTTTGACTTGTCATGCTCAGCGTAACGTGTTATTCAAAGCTCTTTTGCGTTTTGTGTGTTGCATATAGTTTAGAACTAAGACCTATTGAACAAGAATGTTGGATTGGTCCTTGTTTAAAAGTTGTGGCAAGAATTAGACGCTTGAATGCACTACCCCGCCATGACATTTCACGCGTGCTGCAATACCGCTTGAAAGAAGGAAACGAATATCGAGTGTCAAAAATTAGTCTTCCAATGCAGATCCTAAATCTAGGATGAAAAAGTCTATTTTCATAAATCATCTACTGAGTGATCTGATATCTGTGTATTGTCTTCGACACCTTTAGTTTCATTCCGGGTTTTTATTAATTAATGAACTGTTCTATATAAGAAGAGTGGTTGGTATTTCGTCGACTTCTGTACAACATATATAATACATTCATATTTCTTACAAACGTAGGTGTTCTCGAGTCAATCCCAACATTAATTAACAGGAAACTCCATTTACATATAAATATCTCAAATTCTGACATCAAAGTAATTCTAATAATATGGACAGTAACGTTCATTTATTTAACACAAAGTCATAACATGTGCATGTTTGAAATCTTGAAGTTTTATACTCTGTTATATATATATATATATATATATATATATATATAATGCTGTATAAGCCCAATGTCAATGTTCTGACCGCACAGGATTCACAAGTTAGAGTCTCGTATAGATCTCTTCTTGCTGTTTGCCGTCCTCAAGTTCTCCTTGTTGCTTTTCTCCAACTTCCTTTTTATCTTTTCCCGTGTTCGCTTGGGGTTTGCTTTCTTCGTAGACTCTGTTATTGTAAAAGAAGAAGGATTTATAAACAAGTGCTGAATTGCTTGAAGACACCAGTAGTAAGGCTAATACCTTTTTAATGTAACGCATGCGTAGTTGTTATATATGTACATTATTTGAACACGTACTGTACAAGTACCATGAATGGGAAAAGTTAGCGTCCTAAGTGATACATTTAATTAGTCCGTTTGCACAATAGTTAAATAAATTATTTACAACCTAGGAGACTCCAACAAGTTGTCGAATTCCTCTAGGTTCTGCGGGAGATCTCTGCGCACAGTCTCAGGTAACAGAAGTGACAGAAGTCCTGCGATGATTGACTCAGCTCCAAGGATGATAAAAGGCAGTGCAGCAATTGGCTCCTTTATCAAAATAACTTGAGGAGCCAAGGCGCTGCCAACTCTGGCAAAGGCAGACGCCAATCCCAGAGCTATGACTCTGGAATATTAACGTATTCCCTTTGAGCTAAACGAAATTCGAACAGATGAAAAATTCCATTTTTCAGTAAAACTTTTACTGGAGCCCTCGTCGGAGTTACAATAAGTTCCACAATAGAAAACCAGTGCCAATCGAATATACTGCAATAAAAAAAATAATAATAATAAATAAAAAATAAATAAAAAAGNCTTAAGAGATTTTAACAAAAACCCAAACTTTTTAGAAAAAAAAAACAAAAAAAACAGGGACTAACTTTGAATGTAAAAATGGATTCATGAACCATTGGTAATTATGGGAAAATTGTTGTTTACTCCAGGAAAATTCATTTTTTGGCCAAAACGAAGAGTTATTATCCCTTTAAGAATGCCAGTAGGATGATAAGAAAAAAAAAATCGATCTTAAGGCATTCTCAATGACAGATGGATTAAGCTTCTTTTTAAATTAACCAATAAAATCCATTAATGACGTAACATCATATCAGTTAAGTCTGATAAAACAATGTAATACCGAAGCAGCCTTACTTTCAAGAGGCTCTGACACTGATCATGGTGACAGTCGAAGATACAACATTGGTCAAAAAGGTTGTCCCACCCCCATTTCCATGTACTTTTATTTACAAATGATCAAGTCACAGATGTTAATTGTTAGAAATAGTGCTTTTTATTCCAGATGCCTTATCTATAATAAAAGGCACCGTTTATAACAATTTACATCTGTAAGGTGATCATTTGTAAATATAAGTACATGGAAATGAGGGTGGGACAACCTTTTTGACCAATGTTGTATATGCATTTTAGGACGCGCAACAGTTTTGCCTTTATGCGACACTGTAAAACTTAACACACCTGTAGGCAGACAACCGGAAGCAATGCAAGCCACCCCTCCAAGCACCATAAATCCCGCCAGTGATTTTCTTCTGCCAATTTTGTCGATGAGGAAAACAGCCAGAGTGTAGGCCGGGAATTCAATGGCCCCCATCAGGGTAAAATTGAGGTAGAGATCACCACCCAATCCCTCGGAGTTTAGTGCCAAACCATAGTATACCATACCGTTTACCAACCTTGGCAAAAATTAACAAATAATAATAATAAAATAAAAATAAAAAATAAATCAAACCAGCAGATTCTTTCTCCCCTTTCACACCGAGAGGAATGTTTAACTGATATATTATGTACTGGCTCGATTGTCTGAGAACTTTTTTTAATGTCCTGGCTTAATTGCACGTTATATTTTAATATTTCAACTGTATTTTAACTAGAGCGACAATTGTCAAGGTGCATATCCAAATTCTATTCCAAAATTAGCTAACAGCCATTAATTTGAAATTTAAGCTCACCAGTTGAAGCACACGTTTGCCGTCAGTGCGGACCGTTTCCATGTTCTCACAAGGTCTAAAGGGGTGTAGGTCCGAGCAGAGATGACCGTTTCATCCTTGTCTTCTATGACAGACTTAATAGTCTCATCATCAGGCTCGGAGTTCATGTTTGTCATAGAAACTGATCGGATCAACTTCTCTGCTTCTTTTATGCGGCGCCTTGATAGCAGCCATCGGAAAGATTCGGGAAGAATGCTGAAACAATTATGTGAAATAAAAGTTGCCTATAATTAGGAACTGAATCAAGTAGCGCGATTAAAAATGCACCATTGGTGCCATTAACGGCGTATGTCACTATCCTGGTTTTGATAAATAAACAACAACAAAATTTTATATACTTTCTGGACCTCCTGTTTTGATGCTTAAATATTTTAAAAGCCACGAGCCAAATAATGGTGAAAGTACAGTCTAATATTGTACAGAGACTGGGAAGCAAATTTCGTCATTGTGACTGAAGTTTCTTTGTCACATAGCTGCGACTCAGGTTGTCAGTCATTTTGACTTATTGAACGTAGTTTAACTTTTGAGTCAAAGTGAAAAAAATCGCGAATATCACAGTATTTTCTAGCGTCCAAATTCCTCGGCCAGTAATTCAAAATTTCAAAACATACGTACATGTACACAGTCTAGTGCTGAACATTTTATTTGTTTGTAAGGCTATATATTATACTTACAAATAATATAATCCAAATAGGTAAGCAGGCACGAACAGTGCTAGACCTAGGTGTCTCCAGTTTCTTATAAAATAGGCAAATAGTACAACGTAAAAGTAACCAAGACTAAAAAAATACATTACACCAAATCCTGCAAAATTTCGTTTGCTTGGACCTACATATTCAATCCCTGCAAAATAAAAAAGAATAAAAAAGAATTCGGTGCTCTCAAATCAGTAAGTGGTTAAGTGACATGGGGTATTGAAAACAAAGAAGCTAGCATGCATCATATCTGAAGCACGGGATACATTTGAAGTAAACAAACAAGCTGTGGTTGATTCTAGAAACACATTAGAAGTTGTAAAGTATGCTGTAGAAACTTTGCTTAAACTAGATGTTACAGTGTTCAAGATTTCCGCTTCCCCTTCTTTTTTCTCTCTTTTTAAGTTGGTATTTTACCTAGAGTGAATACAGTCAGGAATATACAGCCATTAAGCGATCCCTGCAGCCCTAGAGACAACGTGTATACTATCATATTGGGAGACAAGGCGGTAAGAACCCCCAAAGAAGCCGACAGCAAGATGGCAACCAAAAACGTCGGTCGTCTCCCGAATCTGAAACATCATGAAATAAAACAATTGTGATATAAATTAATGCAATGAAATAAAAGCTAAATGGAAAATATTTTTTCATATTTTTGCAGCCCCTAAATGATCGTCAATACATACGTATGGGTTTAAATAGGCATATCGTCAGAACAGAATGGCTCAAAGACTAAAGAGAATGTGTCATTCCGAATGAACAAAACAATCCCCATTCATTTCAGGCGTTTGGAAGTCACCGAAAACAAATATCATATGCCAAGGTTTAGAGCATCAGATACCAAGGTCACATGTAATGGTCTAGGTCAATGTCCCCCCCCCCCAAAAAAAAAAAAAAAAAAAAAAAAACGCAAAGAAACAAAGACAACAAAAAAGCTTTAATACTGCACAAGGGAAAACCACTCTTCATTTTGGCGGAAAATGTGCCATAAAACGGATTTTCCAGGGGCAAACTAAATTTTTCCCATACACCGGTTTAATCCATTACGACATTCGAAGTAAGGCGATTGTTTTTTATGTGTTTTTTGAAATTATCTCTTAAGAGATTATTACGGAGGGTAGCCATCTGTGAAGTTCCAATTAGCCAATACATATGTATGGGTCCACGTGACAATCACAGATTTCAGAATAATTGCGATAACCGCTGTTTTGGTGGTAAAATGGAATTTATTAGATTTTTATGTTTTGTTTACAATCTTTTTATTGTGGAGTTTTAAATTTCAGATTAAGAGTTATTATCCCTTTAAGCAGATAAGGTTTCAGCCAGCGTTTTATTATTTATTTGAATTCTATTATTATATAGGGTTCAATCAGTCTGTTTGTTTGCCTTAACCTTAAGAGGAGGTTAGCGTAGCGTTCCTGAAATACGTATATGTTAGGGTGATGTTTTTAAAATTAATTTTATACTTTTTAAACAATCAACTTTTAAATTTGCCGTTGCGCTTATTAATGTGATTATTAAGCACAAGTTTGGATTATACCGATTCAAACGTTATCACGTATATACCTGTCACTTATAATCCCTGATAAAGCATCCCCAACCAGTCTCCCGACAAAGTATACGGATTGACTCGTGCTCACTAGCCATTTCTTTCCACAGGTCAGGTCAAACTAAACAAATAGGAGAGGAAAAAAGTCAACATAGAACATTATTTCACCTCATTTTTTTCAAGTTAGGGTTTGTTGTTCTGTAGCATATGTCGCTCTAAAAAGAGGACAATAATGCATTTTCACTTTTTTTATACAGTTTTATACTCCTAAGGGTGCCATTCTAAAATTGCTTTTTTTCTGTTGGGTTTTCCTTTAATTTTGTTTGTTTATAATAAATTTGTATGTCTATCATTTATATTCAAGGTTATATCTATACCACTGATCTGATCTGTTACGGCTTATACATTCATTATGCATTCTTACCTCTGATACCACAGTTGAGGTATATATTTCTTGACTGTATTCTAGTCCCAAAGGACATTCAACAATAGCTGTGTTATTATCTGAAACAGAAGGAATCTCATAATGTGTGTCATTTCCCGTTTTGTTATCTCTCCTCCATGATCTCAGCTTACAACTACTTCGGGTCAATTTGCCGTCCTTTTCTTCCTATGGGATGGTTAGGTTCAGCAGCTCCTCGTGAGAAAGGTTTCCGTAGACCCTCTCCGCGCTCGATACGTACTCGGCTGGGATTTTACAGTTGTGTTTCGGCGTTGCCGCCATAAAAACCGGAGAAAAGACACGAACAGCACCGTACAGTCCTACCAGACAAATTAGAAAATACTGCCGTTTCTGAAAAGTGCCAAACTCGCCAATAATTTGCAAAAGCTCGTCCAAATGCATCCTATTTGATGGTAGATTCGGACCTATAAATTAAAGTAGTTATCTCCAGAGTTGTTGCCAAGATCTGTTCAAAACAAACAGCCTTAGTATTGCTGCGCATGTGAGAAGGTTGCTTAGATAAGGTTGTTTAAGGACAAGTGCCCGCCATGTAATGGCACGTCATTATTATTGTAAATAGCTTACTGCTATGCTTGGTGTTGCAAGTTATTTATGGTCTGCCCTCCTTTGCGTTTTGCGTTTTACATTTCATTCTCTACTCACGACTTGTTCAAATACTTTATTTCTGCTCTTTGACCTAAAGACTTAGTGTACATTTACATTATAACGTTGTCACATGTTGGAAATTATCGCTGTCACTGAAATGAACTCGTTGCAAATATGATGGTGAAAATGATGTTTCAATAGTTTTGGCACATTGAAAATATTCGATTATTTTAAGAATAAAGTGTTAAAACTGCCAGACACTGACACCTGTCAGAAGTCACATCGGTCGACATATTATTTTTAAAATAAATTTTAAAAACACCAAATACTCTTAATTTCATTGCAATATCTTCAAAACTATCGGCGTTGTTTAACCTTGAAATTAGGAACGTTTTGTTTTAATCCCACTGATATAAGGAAATCGTTATTGTATTTGATAGGTTACCTCATGAACAGCTATTAAAATGCCCAACTAGACAAAATACCCCAAATATAACGAGCCAATTTATTCTTCTTAATAAACCATTTATTTACATTGCATAAGCTATTAATATTGTGCATGAATATAGTAAAGACACACACACACACACAGAAAGAGGGAGAGAAGGAAACGGACTATAAACCATACAGTCTTATAAACGGCTTATAAATTCACTCTCACATATCTATATGAACGAGTCCATTGAAGAACATATTCCTGATTGGCAACTTTAGCCCTCATTTCAGAAATAAAACATTTAACACCCAGTTACGGATACATACCGAATCATTCGTTTTCAAAAGGAATAATCAGTGTTTCTTATAAAGCAGCACAAATCTGGTTATGTACTGTATATATAGTTTTCTATGTCATACTACATCGTTCATCAAAACAAAGCAGTATAACACCATATCGAGTGCTTAACACAGATATATACTTTCTAAGATAAAACTAATAAAATAACTATATATCAGCAATATTGAAAATGTACCTGCATTATTGATAAAGAACATAACAGTATATGCACCGTTGTTAACTTGTAACAATACCACTCATATCATACTGGTATCGATTGGTGTAAAGTTGTAAACTCTGTTGCATGATTCAAACAGTAATGTGACAATATGTCGATAATGTAGCATTCCGTCGACGTTCCACTTGATAAAGAGCATTGATAGTGATTTTATACATGAGCGCTTTATCTGTATCTGAGGTCTCCCCCCCCCCTTTGCAGGTGCAGATCTTCAAGCCACACATAAATTGTAAATACGTCTTGGATATGTACGTCCAACTGTATGTGTCACATCAACATGGGTAAAAGCCCAGTTGTTTGTCTTAAGCATCAAGGACCCTAGTACCCTGCAAGACATTCACAAGGGGGTACAGTCGTTGCCCGTAAAGTTACAGTCGTGTTTGCATCTTTTCCAGTTTTTTGTCATCTTCGGATTTGTCTTCCTTTATTTCGTCACCTTTCTTATCACCCTTCTTTTTTTTCGTTTCAGGCTTGGCTTCCTCGTAGACTCTGAAATTATAGATAAACCAATAATTGCAAGGTATGCGTTAACGCTTCCGATCCGGGCTTTAGATTTTTTTATCTTTATTTAAAAATTCTATCGTATGGTTAATAAATGCATTACTATTTTCACTGATATCATTGTCCTCACTGAAGCTTTCAAATCAGTGTCAAACACAATGGATCCGTAAAAGTATTTACAACCTAGGAGATTCCAACAGGTTGTCAAATTCCTCTAGGTTCTGCGGGAGATCTCTGCGCACAGTCTCAGGTAACAGAAGTGACAGCAGTCCTGCGATGATTGACTCAGCTCCAAGGATGATAAAAGGCAGTGCAGCAATTGGCTCCTTTATCAAAATAACTTGAGGAGCCAAGGCGCTGCCAACTCTGGCAAAGGTAGACGACAAGCCCAGAGCTATAATTCTGGAAGAATCGAAAATTTACCATGAGACTGAAGTCAATTAAACAGGCGAGAATATTAATCTTTAAAATTCTATTATGATCGACGCAGTACCAATGTGGCCTACTAAATAACATCTGAAGGAATTGAAGGTTACCGGTGTAACAGGAAAGGAAGNCAAGTTAGGGTTTGTTGTTCTGTAGCATACGTCGCTCTAAAAAGAGGACAATAATGCATTTTCACTTTTTTTATACAGTTTTATACTCCTAAGGGTGCCATTCTAAAATTGCCTTATTTCTGTTGGGTTTTCCTTTAATTTTGTTTGTTTATAATAAATTTGTATGTCTATGTATCATTCATATTCAATGTTATATCTGTACCACTGATCTGATCTGTTACGGCTTATACAAAATTTTAAACAACACAAAAGTCATAGGGAAATAAATATTGAGAAAAGCTGCATTCTTACCTCTGATACCACAGTTGAGGTATATATTTCTTGACTGTATTCTAGTCCCAAAGGACATTCAACAATAGCTGTGTTATTATCTGAAACAGAAGGAATCTCATAATGTGTGTCATTTCCCGTTTTGTTATCTCTCCTCCATGATCTCAGCTTACAACTACTTCGGGTCAATTTGCCGTCCTTTTCTGTCCATGGGATGGTCAGGTTCAGCAGCTCCTCGTGAGAAAGGTTTCCGTAGACCCTCTCTGCGCTCGATACGTACTCGGCTGGGATTTTACAGTTGTGTTTCGGCGTTGCCGCCATAAAAACCGGAGAGAAGACACGAACAGCACCGTACAGTCCAACCAGACAAATTAGAAAATACTGTCGTTTCTGAAAAGTGCCAAACTCGCCAATAATTTGTAAAAGCTCGTCCAAATGCATCCTGTTTGGTGGTAGGTTAGGATCTCTCAATTTTTATTTCAATATTAGTCACCTCCAAAGTTGTTGTCAAGATCTGTTCAAACCAGACTGCCTTAATATTGCTGCGCGTGTGAAAAGGTTGCTTAGATAAGGTTGTTTAAAGACAAGTGCCCGCCATGTAATGGTGCGTCATCATTATTGTAAATAGCTTACTGCTATGCTTGGTGTTGCGAGTTATTTATGGTCCACTCTCCATCGCATTTTGCGATTTGCATTTCATTCTCTACTCACGACTTGTTCAAGTACTTTATATCTATTCTTCGGCCTGTAGACTAAGTGTACATCTACATTTCTATATTTTGGGATTTATTGCTGTCGCTGAAATGGGCTCGTTACAAAAATGATGATGAAAATGATGATTTAATAAATTTTGTCTCTTCGAAAATATTCAATTCTTAAGACAAAGTGTAAAAACTGCCAGACTCTGGCACTTGTCACATCGGCCGGCATATTATTTTTTACTTATTAAAAACACAAAATATTCTTAATTTCATTGTAATATCTTATTGAATTTCGAAATTAGGAACGTTTTTTTATCCCACCAATATATATTTAACCAAGTACGAAATAAGGAAATCGTTATTGATTTTGGTAGCATAACTCATGATCAGCTATTAAGAATGCCCAAATATAGACAAAATACCCCAAATATAACGAGCCAATTTATTCTACTAAAACCATTTATATACACTGCATAAGCTATAAATATTATACATGTATGTAGTAAACACACGCACGTTCGCACACACACACGCACACACACACACACAGACAGAAACAGAGAAAGAAACGGACTATAAACCATACAGTCCAAGGCGGCTTTTAAATGGATTATAAGTTCACTTTCAAATATCTATATGCACAAGTACATTGGAAAACATTTACATGAACAAATAAAACATTTGAACACCCCCAGTTACAGATACATACCGATTCATTCGTTTTCAAAAGGAACGAGCAACGCTTGTTATAAAGCTGCACAAAAATCTGGTTATGTTCTGTATATAAAGTTATTTATGCAATACTACGTCGTTTATCAAGAATTTCAAAACAAAGCAGTAACCACCCATATCGAATGCTTAATACAGTATTTAGCTTTTAAGATAAAACTAATCAAATAATAATGTGTCAGTAATATTGAAAATTTACCTGTATCATTGATAAAGAACATACCAGTACATGTACCGTTGATAACGTGTAACAATACCACTGATATTATATTGGTATTGATTGGTGTAAAGTTGTAGACTTTGTTACATGATTCAAACAGTAAATGTGGCAATATGTCGATGTCCCTCTTGATAAAGAATATTGATAGTGTTTTATACACGAACGCTGTATGTGTATCTGAGGTACTATCCCCCTATGCAGGTGCAGATCTTCAAGTCACACTTAAATTGTAAATACGGCTTGGATATATACGTCCAACTGTATGTGTCACATATACATGGGTAAAAGCCCAGCTGTTGAAGACCCTAGTACCCTACCACATGCGGGTACAGCCGTTGCCCTAAAAGTTACAGTCGTGTTTGCATCTTTTCCATTTTTTTGTCATCTTCGGATTTGTCTTCCTTTATTTCTTCATCTTTCTTATCACCCTTCTCTTTTTTCGTTCCAGGTTTGGCTTCTTCGTAGACTCTGAAATTATAAACAAACCAATAATTGCAAGGCACTAAATAACGTTTCAGATCCGGGATTTTGTTTTTATCTTTATTTTAAAATTCTATCATAGGGCTAACAAGTGTACTAATATTATCATTGATATCATTGTCCCCACTGAAGCTTTCAAATCAGTGTCAAACATAATGGATCCGTAAAAGTATTTACAACCTAGGAGACTCCAACAGGTTGTCAAATTCCTCTAGGTTCTGCGGGAGATCCCTGCGCACAGTCTCAGGTAACAGAAGTGACAGCAATCCTGCGATGATTGACTCAGCTCCAAGGATGATAAAAGGCAGTGCAGCAAATGGCTCCTTTATCAAAATAACTTGAGGAGCCAAGGCGCTGCCAACTCTGGCAAAGGTAGACGACAAGCCCAGAGCTATAATTCTGGAAGAATCGAAAATTTACCATGAGACTGAAGTCAATTAAACAGGCGAGAATATTAATCTTTAAAATTCTATTATGATCGACGCAGTACCAATGTGGCCTACTAAATAACATCTGAAGGAATTGAAGGTTACCGGTGTAACAGGAAAGGAAGTCCGCTAGGAACCGTAGTCCGCATCTCATTACTTTGTACAGGTGACATTCGTCCCTTATACTAACCAAAATGCTGCCTATAACCCTATTAAACCTGTACATTCCTAGGACTCCCATTCCTGTCACACCGGTTCAGGCAAACCTACCTCATCACTGTTGGGTAAACCTCCGCCGTCAACACGTATATCACAGCAAACGATGCAGAGATGCCCATCTTGCCAATTAATGCCATTGTCATAATAAGCCAATGCAAATCTGAAAATACAAATGAGTCAGTTTACCGAAAAGCACACGACGATCTGAATTACTGTAAAAATCAAGGCTACATTTTCTGTAACTTTTTTGTTCTTAATTAAAAGCTTAATTAAAAGTTCAAAGTGACAGTCGAAGAAGCGCGTACTTCGGGAACTTAGCAGTTCTGGCGTTAAGTGGCACTGAATAACCTAAAGTGATAACAACTGCTCATTTGGGGAAAAAAAAAATTTCCAGGGGTAAACGACAATTTTATTATACTTACCAATGGTTAAAGAATCCATTTCTGCATGCAAAGTCAGTCCGTTTTTTCTAAAAGTATGTTTATTGTACTAATCTCTTAAGAGATCCCATACGAAGAGTTCTTTAACTAACCTGACGGCACAGTGCCGGAAACAATGCAAGCCACCCCGCCGAGTATCATGAATCCGACCAAGGACATTCTTCTGCCAATTTTGTCGATGAGGAAAACAGCCAGAGTGTAGGCTGGGATTTCAATGGCACCCATCAGTGTAAAGTTAAGGTAGAGATCACCACCTAATCCTGCAGAGTTCAGTGACAGCCCGTAATACACCATGCTGTTGACCATCCTTTGAAATGTAAATTTGGACACAATTAGTAACATCAAATCAACACAGATTAGTTACTAAGAATTTGTGACTATTTTCTATACACAATGTGGTGCATACTACCTTCCATTTCTTGTGTCATTCACGGCTCACAATTGTTAATTATTATATCGAAGTGGTGGTGAAAACATACATGTATTTAACTATAATAACTGTGTTCGGTTTGATTAATAACCAATTTGTGCATATTCTTCCCTGAATGGTAGGTTGAGTCAAGAAAAATAATGTGTTAACTCGACTCATTTCTCTACTCACCAGTTAAAACACACATTAACCGTTAAAGCCGTCCGTTTCCATGTCCTCACCATATCTAAAGGGGTGTAGGTCCGAGTAGAAGTGACCGCTTCATCTTTGTCCTCTATGACAGACTTAATAGTCTCATCATCAGGCTCGGAGTTGATATTTGTCATAGAAACTGATCGGATCAACTTCTCTGCCTCGTCGGTGCGGCGTCTTGACAGCAGCCATCGGAAAGATTCGGGAAGAACGCTGGAAAATAAAGCGATGGGACGGCAGTTAGATATAATTTGAACTGCAATAATAATGCACTTAAAGGAGGATACATGTGTCAAAAAAACAAGCGCAATTGATCTGGTTTGTTTGATGTTTAAATGTGGCTATTAAAACTTAGTCACACAGCTGACCAAGATACTTGGCCCCGGTTTCACACACACGCACACACACGCACACACACACACACACATACGCACAGTCAGGTTCCCTTGTTATGAACCTAATTACCAAGGTTACATGGTCACATGGGAACATTTTTTTCGGATAAGGTGCAGTGAAACAGCACTCTCATGGAAATCCTAGTTAACTAAGCCAGGGAACTGACTTAGTTTTTTTTTGTGAAACTGGGGCCAAGATACTTGATCACACTGACTAGCCACCTTAACCAATATTCATCATCCCAGAGACCCAAAAGCCTGTTGAGTCCCTTTTCAACAACGTGGCCTGAGGCGCTCAAAGCTGAATAAGTTACAGGCTATGCATTTATTTTCTAATTTCGTTCAGATATATCAATTTCCCCGTTTAAAACGTTTACTTTTAAATCTTAGGCGACTATAGGACAGAATATTTTAAGGCATGTGTCTTGCAACTAATTTAGCGATCATGTGAAAAATTCGCCAAAACTCTCCTACAGATCATCTGAAGATGATGACGGCTTTTAAAACATGCTTCCTGTACTTCAATGAAAAAAGTCTGGCCAAGCATAACGCACTTTAGACACATGTGAATAGTTCTGAAGATTTTACTTACAAATAATACAGCCCAAACAGGTAGGCAGGCACGTACAGCACTAGAGCGAGGTGTCTCCAGTTTCTTATGAAGTAAGCAAACAGTACGAGGTAGAAGTAACCAAAACTAAAGAAGTACATAACGCCAAATCCAGTCAAATTTCGTTTGCTTGGGCCCACAAATTCGAGTCCTGTAAAATGAAGACAAAAGATTATTAAGTGAATGATAGCTACTGAACAAACAAAAAAACATTCAATGGGCTTCATAAGTAGCTTTATAAATATTTGGACTTTATCTTTGCAAGATGAACACAGGGAAGGTATAATTTCGTTCCATGTTGACTGGAGAATAAATACTTATAACAAGACGCGTGGGGTAGAAGTTCACAAAGTTGTGAAGATTAACAAACTTGTTTGCCATATTTCCGCGTAGTTTTCAAGTTAGCCAATTACCAATGGTGAATGTAGTCAGGAATATACAGCCACTGAGTGATCCCTGGAGACCTTGAGACACTATGTATACTATCACATTGGGAGAAAGGGCGGTGAGGATCCCCACAGATGCCGATAACATTGCCGCAACCAGAAACGTCGGTTTCCGCCCGAACCTGAAATTATAATGAATTATTTTGATCTAATGATATCCTAAAATAACCCGACAAAATAAGACAACGTTTGCTTGCATATATTCAAATACAAACTGCCACGTATTGGCAATTAGATTAATAAGAAATATCCAAAATATGAGACACCTGCTGGATGCATGTTCCAACATTGTCCGGTGTGATATGGATGTATACTCTACCAGGACCGCAGATGAATTACGTGCACTTTTTCTCTAAGTGCAGAAAAATTCCATGAATTATACAAAAACATATCTAGCTGTTATTAGCGAATAAGCGAAAAATCAATCTGTGGCCCTTGTAGAGAGCGACACGAATGCTAGTCTGCCAGGCCCCGCACTCATTACTTTAAACAGGTGCCATTTGTCCCATATGTCAATCCCCAACACCTAACCTTCAACTTAATTAACTATATATAGAACGTGTGCTTCCATTTCTTGGACTATTATCCCTGTCACAGTTTCAGTGTCGCCGGAAGCCAAACGATATAGCATTAGAGAATAAAGTTATTGATAAGTAGGGTGTTGATGGTGTCCCGACTTTTTATTTGAAAATAAAACGAAGTACATTACATAAAATGATGGAGACTATGCAGGTACATGTATATTGAATCGAAAGCAAATTAAACGATCACAGATAGAGGGCAGACGATCGTATAAAGTTAAAGCCCATTTCGCTTCTTTTTGCACATGTCATAATCATTCAACATACATTTCAGTTTAGAAATCCATCTTCATACTTCATTTTCTCACAATGGACCTATCAAATATCTTCAGCCATTGCACAGAATTATACTTTGCGATACTCACCTATCACTAAGTATCCCTGATAAAGCATCCCCCACCAGTTTACCGACAAAGAATACGGACTGACTAGTGCTGACCAGCCATTCGTTGCCACAGCCCAGATCAAACTGAAGGAAATATTAGAGAGTGAGGCAACCTCTCTCTAAGATTCAAAATAGGACATTATTAGTGGTTAATATTTTTTGGTATGAAGAAGCACTTTACGATGTTACGTCTGGAATTCTTCCTTCACAGTCGGATCAATAGATCATGAAATAAAAATGGAAAATAGTCGAATGAAAGTTAAGGTGGTATAATAATTTACAAGCTGTATTCTTACCTCTGATACCACAGTTGACGTATGAATTTCTTGACTGTATTCCCGGTCCAGAGGACATTCAATACTCCCTGTGTTATTATCTGAGGCGGAAGGAACCTCATAATATGTGCCATTTCCCGTTCGGTTATCTCTCTCCCATGATTTCAGCTTACAGCTACTTCGTACCAGTTCTCCGTCTTTTTCTTCCCATGGGATGGTCAGGTTTAGCAGCTCCTCGTGAGAAAGGTTTCTGTAGGCCCTATCCGCGCTCGATACGTACTCTGCGGGAATTTTACAGTTATATGTGGGCGTTGCTGCAAGGAACACGGAACAGAGGATAGGGACAGCCGTGTACAGAGCCGCTAGACATATTAGGAAATACTGGCGTCTCTGGAAAGTCCCAAACTCACCGATAATCTGTAAAAACTCGTCTAAATGCATCTTTTTTAAGGATTCAATGTGAACCTCTTTGTCTGCAAAGCGGGGTTATAAACTGGCTTTGTTTACTATTCAATATCGCGTCATTTAAATAGCAAACAATGAAGTACGAGTAAGAAATAATAATAAAAAAGCTTTGCATTTGGTATTTAGTTATGGTGCTGTTTCACTTGCCTATCTACAAACACGACAAATATCAGAGGTCGCACTATTTTTAAACATAGTGTAGATGATAAGTGGTGACATTCGTAAAAAATCGTGCTTTGTCGATAACGTAATTTTGCCACTTTCAGATAAAATAAGGCGCCATAGAAGCAATAGAATGAACAAATATGCCTCCAAATAGCTCCCTCCTCTTTTAAAATAATAATGAAGCAACAGTTTTCAGAAGTACCTAAAACAAATATACCTTACAAACTATGAAGGCGAACTCATAAAACAAATTTTGGAGAGCGTGTAGGTAGATCCACGAGAAGCTAAGATAAGGATAAGGCTCCGTCATGACGCATTTCTTAATCCGTGCTTCGTTCTTGGTTTTTCGTTTCAAAATCCACCTACATGTACCACTTCTCTTCCATTTATTATTTACGATACATTTGTCTCACCTCGCATTTCTAACAAAATGTGCCAAATGTACAGCATTGTTGAAGTGCACCATTTTATTTGTTTGCCAAGTATTCATGTTTCTCAGAACAAAATGAATCAATTTTTTGCTTTGTGTGTTAAACTCTCTTAAAATTTCAGTTAATTATGTCTTGCACATTTGACACCTAAAATACAATACTGCACGTACACGTTTATACCTCAGTTGGTGTTAACATTTTATTGAAAATATCTACGTCTTCAGTTGATTGGAAAATTGCGAAAGAAGAACGTTCATTCCAAACACTTGGCATTCAGCGTATGTGTGCACCGTAAGCTATATGCTCACATCCGATTTCTCACGTCTTGGGTCTTTCTTCAGGTCCAGAAGCTCATTCGACGAATCTTTGTCCAGTTCATGTTTTTCTGTCCGGAATCTAAGGAGAAAAAAGAAAATAACAACTCAGTATAGCTGTTAAAGAGCGCATTCAGAACACCAGACTAACGGATCTGCGGATCAAATATGGCGACACACTAAAAAGCTTGCCGCTTAATTCCCTTTTAGACACTGAATAGATTCCCCACGGGGATTACGCAACAAGAGTTCAGGTGGGTCGGCCATACTTGATCCGCAGATCTGTTAGGCTCCATTCAGAACAATGGACTGACTATTCAGAGGGTGAAATGTGGCCGACCCACATGAACACTTCACTACGGGGAATCTCTTCAGTGTCTATTAGCGGATTAGACGACAATCTTTGTAGTGGGTCGCCATACTTGACCCTCGGACTAGTTAGCTATTGTTCTGAATGCGGCCTTAAGTAGTCCCCTGTTCTGAATGTGCTCAAATTCATTATAAAATACAGGTAGATTCTAGTATTTTAGCAAGCGTAACAGACAGCGAATCTCTTGAAACCAATACAAAGAAGATGGGGCGATAAGGATGGATGTGAGGACAACTTGAGGTTTATGCAGCTGACAGACAACACTGGCGACCTCTAGTGGATACCTTATGCAGCACCCTGGCAAGAAGCGTTACTCAGTGAGTATAAAGATAATAATACGATTTCTCCTTCTTCCTTGTGACGGATAAAACGGGCGAATATTTGTCACAGGATGGTCAATTTGATTCCAAATCCTTAAAGAACATAAGCCGGCTTCAGTTATTCACTTTTCGTTTGACAGCGTAACTGGCGGCACTGGCGATGGCTGGCGCGGGGAGGGGGGGGGGGAGAGGCACAAACATTGACATGTATAACCTTGCAATGACAGTTTTATAATAATATATAAAGTAGGGCAAAGGTAAGGGGAGTTATTTGATTTTGTCTAGCTTTGTGTGATGGCCTGTTTATCCTTATTTAAAGGGAGAGGGAGAAGGGGGTACATGTACCTGTGAAGCGAAAGGATGGGGCAGGGAGCATGGCTCTATGCCACCTAGGAGGAGCTATAAGTACCCTCTAACAGGGCAGCAGTTACTATTATCTGAATATTTTTGCTGAGCTTTGTAACCATCCTCGAGATTTCATTACAGGGCCGCAGTACAGATAATAACCGTGAATTTAACCACACCAAAGACATATCTGTGAATGTCTAGTGAAAAATCAATCTGTCGCCCTGGTAGAGGGTAAACTAAAAGGAGGTTATTAGAAATAACACGTCCATCTGGTATCCACAGACCCTTCCTTACTAACCATGGATCGATCTATCTCTGAGGGGATTCTCGCTAAATTGCAATCAACTCAAACTACTATGGGGTATTTATCGTTTAGCAGCTTCAGCAGGCGTGCCAGATATCTTAACCGCTGGAACTGTAAGCAATTTAGCGAGAAACGCCTCGGAGATGGATCGATCCTGTTAGATCGATCTAGGTATGGGAACCTAGGCTTACATTGGGCTACGCAGCAGCTCATCAAACTCGGCCGTGTTCTGTGGGAGCTTCCGTCTAACCGTTTCTGGGAAGAACAGCGACAGTATCCCCGCAGTAATGGACATGACTCCAATGAAGATGAAAGGCAGTGAAGTCATTATTTCTTGAAGTAAGATCACCTGCGGGGCAAGGGCACTCCCGACCCTGCCAAACGCTGAGGCTGTTCCTAACGCAACGATTCTGTAAACGGGTGTCATGTTTAATTGATTAAAATGTTAATTTGTCCATGGGAATTGTGATCAATTAGGGCAAAAAGGCAATCATTCAATATATGACATCCACATGACTAATTCTTAATTTAAGAACAATTTTTTTTTGCTTTTCAAATAAAATGTACTGAATAATACACAAACTGTACTATCATTTCAGGTCTTGCATAATCATCTATTGAAAGAAGTTTTCAATATTTTCGTATTCAAGATGAGCTCAAGTGTTGGCAACTATGTCAGGCCTACCCAACTACCAGACTCGGCACCGAATGATCCTGAATTCACCGGTAGATCAGACCACACTACCCGTTTTCAAGGTGTGTGTCAGATCGCATTACACAGTATCATACCCTAAACAAATTTTGAGTGGTGATGCAATGCTTTTCAACCCCGCTGAGAATCGTCACTATCACATCGCGTACTAGGCAAGAGCGGTGTCGCGTCTGATACTGTGTAATGCGCTCTGACACTCACCTTGAAAACGGGTAGTGTGGTCTTATCTACCGGTGAATTCAGGATAATTCGGTGCCGAATCTGGTAGTTGGGTAGGCCTGTATGTGTGCATGTGTGTTTTAAACCCTTAACAGTATAATATTTTGCCTTAACCTACTAACCTCATTGTAGTTGGGTAGCATTCCGGTGTAAGAAGGTATATAACACCAAACGAAGCAGAAATACACATCTTCCCGACTACTGCCGTGGTAATGATCAGCCAGTGTAATTCTTAAAAAATAAACAAATTATTATAAAAAATATACAATTCGGTGTTATTTAATCGGCGAACACTCCCTGTCGGAATAAGATGATTAGTATAGGAATAAATTGGAAGGCACATTGGGCGAATCTCGGGTGATTTCTTACCGGTGGATTGACTCGCGTCGATTGAGTTCGAGAGGCAAGCACGTAACAAAACTGTAATGCCCAATATTATGCATACTAGGGTAGTATATGAATATTTTGAATATGAATGTTTGCAGATCCAAAGAAACTATTTTCTCATACTTCGCATTTATGGTTGGCATTCGATATGAGCGTTACATGTATAATTATGAAAATACGTCCTTTGTTTAACATACCGTAGGGCAAAACCCCAGACACAATGCACGCCACCCCTGCAGTCACCATATAGAAAAATAGGGTTTTTCTTCGGCCTAATCTGTCTATGATGAGTACGAGCGAACCGTACGCCGGGATTTCTATGGCACCCATAAGAATGAAGTTCAAATAGAGGCTGCCTCCTAAGCTTTCCACGTTCAGGGAGAGACCGTAGTAGACCATGGCATTGACAAGCCTTGAATATTAAAATGTTAAATCACACTAAAACGGTAAATAAAATACACAAATTAAGGAATGGTCTTTTTCATAATGTATATTATGCAGAAGAAGGGATGAAGGTCAGGAACATGTTTAATTTACATCTCAGAATATTTAAATGTTTGTACATGAGCGATGATGTAACACATTTATCAAATTATTTTGTTTTACAAATATTTCGAAAATGCGTTTTAATCACGTTCAGCAGTTACGCATATATAGATTTCTATATTTTACTTTGCCCATCAGTCAAAGACACATTTTCATTTTTCTGGTTTCCTATTCTTAGAAAAAAAATTCTCCAAGCAATGTTTGAATTATTGACATTTCATTTTTTTAAACAGCTATGCCAATGTTTGCGACAATAAAGGAAAACAATACACAAATCGCTAAACCAAACATAGAGACATTAAACCAAACATTGTGAAAAAAGTATACATGCCAATTAAAACATATATTCAGCGTGAAGACGGCCCGCCTCCACGTTCGGACCATGTCAAGAGCTGTCGCAGTGTCTGTAGTTGTTTTGGATGGTTTCTCAATGCCGTCCAGTAGAGAAGCGACAAGACCTTCTTCGACCTCGGCTTTGTTGACCTCCACGACTTTATTCAAGACCTTTTTAGCTTCTTCCGTGCGACCGCGAGATAGCAACCATCGGAAGGACTCTGGCAGCAGACTGGTGAAAAGACGAAATAAAAACACGAAATAAAATATCCTTTCCGATTTATTTGTCAATGAAAAAAAATACCTACTCTTACATTTTCTTTACTCTTAAATATTCTTAAATAATGCTGCGAATCCGTTACATGTAGTGTGTTAATGTGAGTGCGTATGTAAAACTGGGTTCCCATAAACCTATGGTACTACTAGGATCGATCTAACTCCAAGGGGATTCTCGTTAAGCTGCATTTAGTTTAAGCGGCTTAAATTTATATCACGCCCACTGAAGCTGCTAGTAGGGTAGTTAACGTTCCTGGAGATAGATCGATTCTGCTAGTACCATAGGGTATGGAAATGTCCCTTAAGATAAAAGAGCTAATTATAAACATTACAGTACTTACAACCAGTAAATTCCAAATAGAAAGCACGGAGAAAACATAGCCAATGCCAGGTGGCGCCAGTTGCGGATAAAATAGGCAAAAAGTACTACGTAGAAAGTGCCAACTCCGAAGAAAATATGAAGAACAAATCCCGTGATATTGCGTTTCCCTGCACCAGTAAATTCTAGTCCTTAAAAAGACATAAAAAGGGCCGCTTGTAAAACACAGCATAATAAACTGAAGAAAAGAGAAACAATAATTGTAATTTTGTAGGCTCCTATTGCACTTAACTAAACAATTATACATAAAAAGTCAATGATTTAACCACATGTGAAAATTAATGGAGAAAACTTAATCTTCCCGGAACAATTTTTATACAGCTGTATAGGTATGTTCTTAAAAGACAAGCGATTTTGTTACAAATTACCAACAAGTTTCACGTACAATACACGTCTGAGATGCCAAATGTTGTGGAAATATCCTTTCGCCTTCCCAAATTTCCCTTCAAAAGTTTATTTTGCTGGTGCACACGTGTCGTGTGACCTAATAGGTCCTATTCCTATTTTTTACCAATTAAAACGCCAACAAGAAAGGGAAGTTTGGCGGCTGAGTCAAACGTTGTTTTATGGCGACGGATTGTAACCTAGTTCCGACGGGATTCGCATTGTAATTTTGCCATCACTATGTTCTTTGGGAATTATATATAAAATAGTCTTTTCAGGCGTAAAAAATTACGTATTTTGGCACTGTCACAATTAATTAATTTTAACATCAAAATTTAATTCATTTTAGTATAAGGATTCACAATAAAAGCGGCCGGCATCGGCCAAGTTTCGAACATCATACTTGTGTTTGTCACTTTATTGCTCCTTTCTCGGCATCGTATTGAACCTTTAGATCAAGGAGACATAAAAACAAAACTGCTATTACTGGGTTGTATAATTTTTTGCGTTTTGAGAAAAAAATGAAATTCTTGTGCATGTGTTTTATAAAACTTGATAGTACTTTTTATACCGTTTGGAACACCATATTCTTCCTTCGCTAAAACTAAGAAAAGTTAATCATTAACTCTAATATGCACAAAAACAACAGACAGATTACAGCTCTTTTATAATCGCATATGTCACAATGATTGTGCGTCAAAGAGGGCGGCGTAACTCACCTAAAGTGAAAACGCTGAGATAGTAAAACGGATTTAGAAACCCTAGTATAAACAAAGCGGTCGTGTAGACAGCCATTACAGGAGACAGTGCTAGTAAAACCCCTACGACGAGTGACAAAAACATGGAGACCAAGAAAGTGGGCCGTCTGCCGAATCTGAAATGCAAAGAGCGAGCTTTTTTAAAATGTCAACTCATAAATGTTTCAGAGATGAAAAAATGGATGTGTAAACTAACTGATGAAATTTGATAAGTCCATCAATTATTTTCTTTCCGTAAATCAATTAGAGACTTCTTGCTACATTTACACGCGTTCTTGCAGCCACAGTGACATCCATGTGTATTTGCATACCTTGTTATCTATGTACAGTGAACGGTATTTGCGACAATGCTGCAAGCAACAGCAGAAAAAATACTATTATTACGAAAAAATCGAGTATCAAATATCATTATATAAATCTATTTTAAAAACGCATGATAGATCATGATTATGATAACAAAATCAAGGTACAAGCACTCCCCTAATCTCCTCACCTATCGCATACCATCCCGGAAAGCAAATCTCCAACCAATTTACCAATGAAAAGCATGGACTTGCTAAAACTGATCTGCCATTCATTTTCACACTTTAGGTCGAACTGGAAAAAAAGTGGTCGTTTGTAATGCCATTTATTTCTTTAACTATATGATTATATCACTCTACTGTGCCCTGTGACAAAAAAGTTATAAAACAAATATGGTCATAATTTTATCAGATGTAAACACATTACTTAACATATTGTCATAACAAATTCTCTGCATAAGAAGACATCTCACTTTCTATTATAAAACTTTCTGTTAACAAGCTGCTTATACTGCTAGATTTGATACAATTTACTAATGGATTTCATACATCGACGTTAATACAACAACAAAAACCACTCTATCTGCATTATATAGTGATATACACATGTCCCTCTGATCAAAGCAGATTGAATAACGATTTGGATCAGTTACTTTTACAAACAAAACACAACGGACTTGGATAGGATGAAATGTCAAATGATTATGATAATGATACAGTTCGGTCCATGCAGTGTCTGTCCATATGCTGTACAACATACCAAACTTTATATAAAAACAAGCAAGGTGTGGCGAGTTTTTAATTTATTCTCCAGAGGCTGAGTACTCAGCGATCATTTAGCTGGCTCACAACGTACATATTACCACAAATGAATGCAGTGAGTGAAAAATAATCTTAGGGGCGATACGTTTTCTCAATTTTTGAAACAAACTGCATCAGCAGCAATTTTAAAAGGGGGAGGGGTTCTTTTTCTGAAAAAGTGGACCCTTTTCCATAAAAAACTTCATGTACCTAGATCAAATTTTACCCAGAGTGGACCTTTTCCCAGCAAAAAGGGCGGTTCTTTCGAATCTCCCGCCCCCCCTGGCTACGGGCCTAATCAGAGCATAATTGCTTACATGGGTTGTTATGCAACTCATCTGCAAAAGTGCTATTCACTGTCTATAATATCATGTAGAAACTGCATTTGCAGGAATAATGAGGTATCCCTCGCATTCTGTTCGGTGACGTCTAAAATACTTTAATTTCTATTTTGTGAACAGAAGGGGGCGGACTAATAATGGACAACCATATCAACATCGTAAAATTATCGACACAACGACACAATCGCTTCGAGGCATGAATTCCATGATGCCGGTGTCTGGGCTCCGGCGTGGGTGTGGTGATATGCTATTATTACAAGACACATGGATATAAATGGCTGGAAGAGGCACTGTTAAACCCCCTTTATACTGGACGGCGTCCTTTCTGCGACCATGAAACTGGCATCGCTGTGGTCGTAGAAAGGGGAAACAAGCATCGATTTGGTTACAGAATGTATGCTCAATGATCGGTCAGTTGTCGGAATGTAAGGTATTATATTTTTCACTCTCAAACGGGTTCATACTACGGGACGCAGAAAGGACGCCGTCAGTGTAAAGGGGGCTTTACTTGTGCGGACACTTACTTTGGTATTGCCTTTTATAGGGCGGGGGTCTCATAGACCCCATTCCCAAAGATTAGATCGATCTACTTTAGATCGACCTAACTCCCTGGGGGCTCTCGCTAAATAGCTGTCAGCCGAGCGGGCACGAAATTTAATTACCTCCTTACAGCTTGTAGTAGGCGGGACGGACATTTAAGCCGGATTATCCAACAGTAGTCTAACAGTGAGACTCCCCGCGGGGATAGATCGATCTAAAGGCTCTGGGAATACGCCCATAAAGTCCTAAACACTCCCAGCACCATCGTGCCGCCATACTGAAACAGGTAACTCCTGACATGCAGACTTTGCACTTTTATTCTTCTTATTATTATTGCTTTATTCTTCTCACATATATTTCTACTTTTTGTTCTTTTCTTTCTGTGATTAAAATATTTTTCTCTCGATTTGTTTTAAGCTTTTTCACGATCACGATCTACAGATCACAAGAAACACTGAAATACATTCTCCACGTCATCTTTGGCAGTAGCGCGGTAGCGGCCAGTCTTAAACCTTAAACATTCCGTTTTAAAGTATTTGCAAATTTAAGTATTTCTAGTATCAGACAAAATATTAAGAAGGGGTTTAAGGAGGGTCAGGGTTGAAAAATACCCTTCCCTTGTACGTACCTCAGATACTATAGTTGACGCGTAGGTCTTTTGGCTGTATGTCCTGCCTTCTGGACACGCTTCAAATGTTTGGTTATCTACGCTAAACTTTTGTTCGAAGGCGTCCGCCACGGACGTATTCAGCGGTATCGTGGCATTCCCAATGCTCGAATTATTTTCATAATTCTTCAGTGAGATGAGGAAACAGCTGCTCCTCTCAAATATTCCATTTTTTCCTTCCACCCAAGGTATGGACATGTTATAGATCTTTTCTTCCGAGACATTTTTGCCATAAAATTTTTGGGAAAGTTCCTTGTATGCAGCCGGTATTGTGCAATGGTGCTCCGGTGCCACCGAAAAGAAGACGAGACTGAAAATAACGACTGCAGCGTACGAGCTTACCAAGCATACCAAGACATACTGCCGTTTTTGGTAAGGACCGAACTCGCCAACTACCTTCAGAAATTCATCCAAATGCATCCTGAAAAACTTTATGGTTCAGACATATGAAGTCATGCCTTATAGCCAGATAAACCTTTATATATATACTGTATACAAGCATAAAAGTGGCTTCAAAATCTGACACCGAACATTATCTTTTGTATCATAGACGTGTAAATCTATTATGGGACACTGTTGACCGCGTATAATTTCTGTATGAAATGTGATCGTCAGGTTTAATGTGGGATAAATGGGTTGGGTAATTCTTGCTGCTCTTTGTTAGCTTGTACGTCTTACTGTTATTAGCGTAGGCAGGGGCCTTTAACAGATCCAGCGTAAGTAGGCGGCTTTGAAATGACAGTCACATAAACTATTTTTGAGAAAATCTACTGTAATATTTTTCTTCTGTTATTTCCTTGAGAAATTTAAGACTTGTGGCGCGATCTCCTCAATTTCACGGCCATGCAACGTGGTAATGCCTGCACCTTTTTTTTTTTAGGCCGCAGAGGGTTTTCAATTTACTATTAAAGAAATAACAACTATTCACTTTGACCAAAATGGATTTCTCTGGGTTAAACGACACTTTTTTCATACTCATTAATGGTTAATGTATCCGTCCTGACATTTTTGTTATAATCACTTAAGAGATTATTACAGAGAGTAGCCATTTATGGAGGGCACGTGATGCGATGACAAACACAGATTCTAGAATAACTGCGACAACCTTGGTCAAACAGAGTTTATTATATATCTGTATTATGTCTGTGAGTGGTTTATAATGTATTTATTGTGAAATATGGATCTCATACGAATAGTTGTTATCCCTTTAATGTGAAACGAACTGAAAAGGGGGATACATGTACCACATGGCCTCATTAACTTACATCCCTTACACCTCATTCAAACCAAAAGTTTAATAGTTTTTTTTCAAACTACAAAGTTCAAGTTTTTATCAATTTTTTAAAATTTATTTTAATTCCGTATAAAATCCACGCAAGTTTTGTCCCTAGCCTTGGACTAATAAAAACGAAAGGGCTGGCAAAGCGGGACACTGTTATTCATCCAGTTCTTATTCAAGCCTGGTAAAAAGATGAACCGACTTCGTTTTGCTTCAACTGAAACTGTACAGTATATGTATGTCTTCAGGTGCCACGTTTTTCGCCGTAAACCAGCTATTTTGCTCTGCTGCAGAAAAAGTTGCATAACACATTTGGACACATGTCTTGAGCGTAACGACGAGCTTTTGAACCTTTGTCCAGCTTCTCAACTTGTCAACGTGTCTATTGTGCGCCGTCACCATGTGGACATTTCCCATTGTGATTTACACAAGCGTGTCGTGTTAGATCCAGGGGTTTCAGCTTTTTGGCGGATGGAGCCTATATCTTCATGCCGATCTCTTTGTCCTGTTGTCTTCACGTTCATTTATTCATGGCAAAAGTATTTTGTCATTCATCCCGACGTTTGCTGCTGCTATTTACCTGGCTACCCACCGGCTGGTCAGCTAAAATGACTTCAATTTCTCCCTGCTTTATACGATTTCCAGCTGAACAAGTGTGTGGAAACGGTGTACACGCAGTATTATTATTTTTAATCTCTTTATTATGTGAAGTCATTTATTTTATGTAGCCCTTGCTCCTTGCTTGATACCAAATATATTCTGTTCTTGTTAGAAAAACCCAAGGAATCACCTGTCATAACTTTAGGGACAGGAACGCCGCTGCTCAATCGCCGCTGCTATGACTTATGGAAATAAATTATGAAAAACACACACACACACACACACTCCATAAATAATGTCTACATTGTGACAATGGTTTGTAACTGCTTGACAGGGCAGTTATACGTGTACTCCTCCGTTAAGCCCCCTTTACACTGGACTTTTTGCCCACAGAACGACTCCGTTTGAGAGTAAAAAAATAATACTTCACGTGTCAACAACTAGCCGATTATTGAGCATTCATTCTGTAACCAAAGCGATGCCTGTGTCTCCTTTCTACGTCCACAGCGGTGCCAGTTTCATGGTCGCACAAAGGCAGAGAGGACGCCGTCCAGCGTAAGTTTTTAAGTAAGATCTTTACTGGTGTTTGACCATCTGGCGCATTGCTGCAGAGGTGACCCATTACTTGTACAATCACTCAGCCTAGAGAGACGCAATGGCGCTGCCGCACTGCCGAGTCGCCCTACCACAATTTTATCGAGCATCGCAACCCGGACACGGTGACTTCTACATGTACGGTAAATGTTTGTCTAATAGGGACTGCGCAACTGTAGCTGAAGTGCTGTTCTCAACGGCATATTCTCGCGCGAGGTTTAATATCCAAATTGATTTTGCATTTTTCTCAAAACGAAGACAATAGGTGACCTCGAAACTATTGAAGACAAACAACTTATTTTACATTTTTCCTATAAAATCAAAAGATCTATGACACTGTGAAAATTAAACTGCAATTAGAGATCGTTTGAAGTTCTTTTCCAGATATCAATTAATTAGGATTTTTTATAGTTGCCTTGACAACGGATTTTATCCTTAAATCCTATCAACGTTATGTGGTTGCTTGTGAAACAGGGCTTTTAAAAAAAGTAAACCTTATGTCCAAACTGCTTTTGCCCATGGTTATTACATAGAATCTGTAAGTAAATCTGATGTGTTATTGTCTACAAAAAACAACCGGTCATAGTGGTAAAGTGTTATGTTGTACGTAGATCTCGAAAGTGGCGCTAGTAAAAAACCAAAGAAAGTCATGAAATGTCTACGTGTGGAGAAGTTCTTTGACAAGAATATAACAAAGCACCTTTTTTTCGTAACACATTTCTCCTTTTATTTTATGTTTTAAGGCTGTTATCATCTTAAGAAGGAGGTAATCCAAACACTGTGCTCGTTCGTTTAAAAAGATGTTGCATTTAAGGTTCTCTGCACTACATGGATTGAACTTTTTTTTTTTTTTTTTTTTTTTTTTTTTTTTTTTTTTTGGGGGGGGGATTGTACATGAACATTAATTAAATACTACCTATTTTTACACTGCCACATAACAACATTAAATTAGGAAGTTAATTTGGATAATATTGTTTAATGCACTTATACGTATGCAATGTGCAAACAATAAGAAACATTTTCTTTCTAAATCCATACGAAGTATTTCTCCTTTCTCCTTATGTTTTAAGGCTGTCATCTACTCAAGAATGACATAATATAGATATTATACAGGCATTGTTCGCGTTTATTTAACAAATAAATTCTTTGAAGGTACTCGGCACTGGATTAAACTCGGAATTGTACTACCTTTTATCAAACTGTATTTCAACAACAATGGATGAAAAATATAATTTGAATTATGGCGTTTAATGGCCTGTTACCTGTATGTGCAAACAATAAGTAACAAGTATGTGCATATCACAAGCGACAGACACCTACGCATGTGCATCAGCAACGGGTCTATAACTATTCAAAATACTGACAGCACCAGACTGCTTACCTGATGAAATTGATAGAAATCAAATACATAGCTGTTTTTCAGTCGGGCGGGATAAAAGTGGCACAGTAATAAAATTCGGGGATCGTGTTATCTCGTCCGTGCGCCATTGTGTTAATAATTTCTGCGTTTTCCTCATAGGCCGTAAGAGTGAGGAACTTGAAAGGGGTTGATAGACCTATCATCATTATGACAGTATGTATGCTGAGAGAATGGAGAAGAGGAGGGTACAAACGATGAGTGGCTTTTATAATCCTGCCTTTGGCTTTTTTACATTTCTACCAAGTCACAAGATAGGCCTACTTTTAAAGGCAGTAAGAGGTTTTTTAGTGTTTAACCTTTAGGTGTTTCTCGTTTTTACTCTAGATTTTAAATCTATACTCACTTTTTTTTATTACATTATGTTAGTAATCGTTTATTTTAAAATCTCAGACTTGATTATAAATGTGTTATAAATGAGGTAATCTTGCCCACCTGCCTGCTTGATGAAGATGTTTTCTAACCCTCTAATTGGTTCTCATGGATCAAGAAACTTACTATTATGTTTCCAGCTACTATTGTACCCTTTTGCACTGCAAAGACAATAATGAATAAAAAATAACGGTGATAATAGTAAATAATAGATCAACTGCCAATCGATGGGTCCCCATCAACCCATAAAATACTAACTACCTCTGTTAAAATAAGGGTCTATTGGAAACATTTCTTTAAGTAAAGTTGTACGTTTCGGTAGAGGTCTTCCACAAAATCGAACCCACCGTTTGCATTAATCCTCCAGATTTGTGTTTGCCTAGGAAATGGCACAAAGGAAAAAATAAACTAACATACGCGGCCTGGCAGCGTGCCTGGAGTTACCTTTGAGCGTGGCAAAAACAAAGTGCGTATTTAAGACTGTGGTAATAATCAAATTTGCGAATGAAATTTAACATCATTACAGTTATGGACAAATATATGGAAACATATGTCACGTTCCCCCCTGTTGAAAAAATTACCGGTCTCTGCAAGCGACGCCTTAAGAGGCCTGCAGAGTGCATAATGTGGTGTGTTACTAAAAAACAGACAATACCCTGGTTATGGTAAACAAATAAATTTCACAGAGTGGTACATGATTAATTAATACATTAACGACAGCACCACCTGTCGACAAATGAAGGTTTATATGTGTTAGCCCTCTTAAGTCTGTTTTTAGTTCTTCTAGAGGATTTTGCGACCTTTGATCAACTATGATTTTGGGTAAGAAGTTTGCTCACAGCACACAATGAAGTTTGTTTTTTACTAGATGGAAATGGGCATAATTGACTTTTAATATGCTTTAATAGTAAAAATACGTTAATACGTTAAATGTCTATTCGAATGAAATTATCTTGTTTTAAGCGCCATTTCGAACTTTCTGTTTAGAACTCGACCCATTAATCCGAAATGGCAGTAAAATTCCTCACTCATGACTGATAAAAAACTTAAGCTACATGTTATACATTTAGTATATCTAAAAACACTTCATTGTTAAAAATATACATCTGCTTGTTAGCTTTGCTCTTGGGATGATATTTCTGGAATCAAAAATGAGGCATTCACATCGTTTTAGTTAATTATCGAAATGAGTGAAATGTCTGGGTGG